ATGGTCACACCACAGTTCCCTTTCCCTTTCCTTTTCCTCCACTCTCCTCCTGGAATTTTGAGCCTGCACGCACATGTGTCCATCTTGATTTTCAAGCCACCAGTCCTGGGACTCGAACTGCAATCAGCCGTGTGGGAGTCCAGTGCCTTAATCACCATGCCACCTGCTAGCCCCAACATCACAGATTTTTTTTTTTCTGTAACAGCTACATTATTGCATGCTATATAATTTGTCTGTGTCCTTCCTTGGCTATGTTTCATAGCTTCCTATACATAAAATATTTAATTTAATGCAAGTTTGAGCTTTCTATGCTCTAAGTAGTGTTTTAAACATTTGTTTAAATATTTCAAATGCTCTGATTTAGACGTAAGCCTGTTATTATTTTAGAGTTATGATATTTCTTAGTGAAAAAATACTGTCCTGTGGAGACCAACTAAATGTATTAACGATTTATGTTTAAAATTCAACTCATAGAATTATTCTCTTTACTCCACTTATTATTATTTATTGCCTCAAATTGTATTTTATATATGCAGAAGTCACTCTGCGTCCTCTGTCTTTTCTGCTTTGTGCGCTGTCTGCCTCGCTTTCTTTAAAGAGGAACCCTGCACTGTAAAGGGCATGTTTACCCTGTTTAATGCTCTTGCCGCATTTAACTGTTTATATGTAACCTCGTTATGCTGCCATAGTACACGTTTTTCTTTCACACTGTCAGGTGTTTTAAATCACACAAATGCACACACACACGTACATCCTTGTACTCTACTTCAGTGCTGCTAGTTGATTTTCTTAGTGCTTTTAAAAATCATTCTTGGCCTTACAGTTGTCTTTGAGTTGGATCATAAGTAAAAATCTATGTTTCTGGCTCATTTACTGAAAGAAAAACTGTGTGACTCATGTTAATTGTATCTGTATTTATCGAAAGAGCCTTTCCCTGCGTGTTTTGAGAAGAGGGACTTCAAGGATGGCATCGTCAGTCTCTAGAACAATGCCTAGTGAACAGTTGGATAACTATTCAATAAAAAATTAAATGAATAAGTAAATGAATAAGTGAGTGTTATTTTGCGGTATTTCCTAGTTTTCTAATCTATATAAATGAATATTTTTAGGTAGTCTATTTGCATCTAATTTTCACACCTTGAATTTGTCATTCTTGTAGGTTGTTGAGAATTATTTTTGATACGATGCTGTTTTGCAATTATATTCGTGTAATTGTTAAACACATGTATTTGGGACCAGCAGTTAGCATAATGGCTATGTCGCTGGACTCCCATGTAGTCGACCGTGGTTCGAGTCCCGGACCCGGCAGCTTGAACTCACGCCAGGCACGTGTGCGTGTGTGCCCAAGATCCCAAGAGAAGAATGGAGGAAAAGGGATTGTGGAGTGGCCATGCCCCCTGTGGGGTGATTTCTCGCTTTCTATCTCTCTGTCTCTCTCTGTCTGTCTGGCGAGTGCGCGCGGCCTATAGCAAAAACCTCTCCAAAAAAAGGGAAAAAAAACACATGTATTTGAACTGAATGTCAACATTTACTTCTTATTTATTGGTTTTATTTATAATCACTGTACATCTTTACAGCATACAAAATGGTTCTTCCCAGCATGAAAACAGTGCATATTAGTCAAGTCATAGATATTATGTACATTGTCATCAACAGGTAACTTTTCATTTTTGTTTCTCTTAAATGTTTCCCCAACCCCCTCCCTCCCTCCCCTTGCTACCCTCTCCCTCCTACACTGTTTCTCATATCTTCAGGTGCCCTCCCTGCTTATAAACCTTCCAAACTTTCAGTACCTCACATAGAGTACAGACATTCAGTATATACTGAGCGGGGACATACAATGCCTCTCCTTTGTAGTCTGCTTGCTTTACTTAGCATTAAATCTTCCATATTTATCCACTTTGTATCAAATGTTAGGGTCTCACTGTTTTTTGTGGTTGAGAAGTACTCCATAGTGTATGAGAGCCACACTTTTCAATCCATTCATCTGTTCTTAGACATTTGGGCTGATTCCAAGTCTTAGCTATTGTGAACAATGTTGCAATGAACATGGATGTGCAAGTGTTTTTCTGACTGTGTTCCTATCCTTTGGGTTGATACCCAGGAGTAGAATTCTTGGCTCGTGTGGTAGTTCTAGTTACAGGTTTCTGAGGAATCTCCATATCGTTCTCCACTGTGGTTGTATTAATTCACATTCCCACCAACAGAGTAAGAGAGTTCCATTTTCACTACAGCTTCACCGCACTTATTATTTATGTTTTCTTATTTTAGCCATTCTGACTGGGGTAAGTGGTATCTCATTGTGGTTTTGATTTGCATTTCCCTTATGATAAGAGATGTTGAGCATGTTTTCACACGCTTTTTGGCCATTTGTATGTCTTCCTTAAATAGTTGTCTGTTCAGCTTATTTGTCCATCTTTTAATTGTACAATTTTTTTTTCTGGTAAACTCCTTGAGTTCCCTTATCTGAGGCATAGTTTTCAAATATATCCTCCTGTTCTGAGAGTTTTCTCCCCACTTTTTTGCTGTGCACAAGTTTTTTTTAGCCTAATGTAGTCCCCACTTGTCTATTTTGGAGATTATTGTCTGTGCTTTGGAGGTCTTATTTAAAAAATCTTTGCCTACCCCAATGTCTTTAGGAGTTTCCCTCTGGTTTTCCACCAGGAGTTTTATGGTCTGGGTTTTTTTATATATTTAGATCCTTGAACCATTGTAAGTTGATTTTTGTTAGTGGTGAGAGATAGGGGTTCAGTTTCACCTTTCTGCAGGTGTATACCCAGTTTTCCAGCACTGTTTGGCAAAGAGATTTTCTTTCCCCCACTGGGTTGACTGGGGCCCTTTGTCAAAAATCAGTTGGCTGTGTATTTTGAGGTTCATTTCTGGGGTCTCTATTCTGTTTAATTGGTCTACATGCCTGTTTGTATACCAGTTCTGTGCTATTTTGATTATCATAGCTTTGTAGTATATTTTGAGGTCAGGGGGTGAGATGCCTTGACTTAATTCTTTTTCACAGTGCTGTTTTTGGTGATTTGGGACCTCATGACTCCAGATAAATTTTATGATTTTTTTTTCAATTTCTGTCAGTTTGATCTCTGGTAATTTTATCAGAATTGCATTGAATGTGTAAATTAATTTGGGTAAAATTGATATCTTGAGTATATTGAGCCTTCCAATCCAGTAACATGGGATGTTTTTCTATTTTCAAGCATCATTTTTTATTTCTTTTTGTAGTTTTCTTAGTTTTCCTTATAGAGATCTTTCACTTCTTTGATTAGGTTTACTCCTAGGTATCTTATTTGTCCGTGTGTGGGGTGGGGGTGGAGGGGTATTGTAAATGGGATTGCTTTTTTCAATTCTGCCTCAGCCTGTTTGTTGTTGGTGTATAAAAGTGCTAAAGATTTTTGTATGTTGATTTCGTACCCTGCTACTTTACTGTATTCATTTATCACTTCCAGGAGTTTTAGTTTTTGTGTGTGTAAATTCTTCTGGGGTTTCTATGTATATAATCATGTCATTTGCAAATAGAGATCATTTCACTTCTTCTTTTCCTATTTGAATGCCTTTTATTTTCTTCTCTCATCTGATTGCATTGGCTAGGATTTCCAATACCATGGTGAAAAGGTGTGGAGAGAGTGGGTAATCTTGTCTTGTTCCAGTTTTTAGTGGAAAAGCGTTCAACTTTTCCCCATTCAGTATGGTGTTAGCTATGGGTTGTTCATATATGCCTTTTACTGTGTTGAGAAATGTCCCTTCTGTATCAATTTAGGTGAAAGTCTTAATCATGAAGAGATCTTGTATTTTATCAAAATATATAAAATTCTCTGTTTCTATTGATACGATCATATGGTTTTATATTTCCTTTTGCTAATGTGATGTATTACACTTATTGTTATTGTAAAATTTTGAGGCAAATGAAAATGTAGATTCAAGAAACCAAAAGTCATCAACTCAAATGGACAAAATACCCTACTGGAATGAGCACATATTAGATCTTACACCCTTACTAGTTTTCAACTGTGACTCAGTTATATTGATAATTTTTAGCAAATAATTTTGACACTCTGATCTTGGCCTACATGTCTTAAAGAACTGACCGCTGCTCCCTTACTACCCCTCTTCGCAGTGCTCTTCCTGAATGGTTCTGACTACGCCGAGCTCCTGTAGGCCTTAGAGGTATAACATTTGCTGTTCCTTGTGCAGGAACACCCTTTCTTCTGATTCCATGTGACTCTTCCTGTCATCTTTTATCATCGTGTTATTTTTCCTCGTAACACTCACCAGATTCTCCATGGCCTCCCTGTTACCTGTTCATGGTTTCTCCCATAACTACAGTGGAGGTGACATGAGGCACATCCTATCCTGTTTATAACAGTGTCCCCAGAGCTTACAACTACACAGGAGTCTTCCCATAAATAAAGGTTCAGTGTGTGAGTGGATGAGAAATTAAGAAATGAGTGACAGACAAACGAGGGTGGTCAAGGATCAAATGGTTGATGTGATCCTGTTTGCAATAGTGCACTCTCATCTTCAGCTGTGTCTACAACCTCGTGGTTCTAGCTAGAAGAGATTGATGATTTCTAAATGGTCATAAAACCCCACATTAGATCAGACATCTTACTGAATCCTTTGGTCACTTGAAATGATTAAATCAATCATCTTGTAAATGCATTGTAAACGACTAGAACCAGTTTGAAGTGAGGACTTCTGTCCAGGACCCAACATTCTGCAATAATAATCAAGTTTCCTTACACCAAGCATCAGCTGCCGATTACCCACTCCTCTTTGTGCCCTGAGATCCTAACTTTCAATTTGCCCTTCTACCAGGAGAAATAGCCAAGAAAGAAACAGCTGCAAATCTACCCACCAAACGCTTGATGTTTATTACACAGATAATTTTCACTTAATGATGCTTAGACAGTTCTTATTAAATGATTTGCTTTATTGTCATGCATTTCATTAACCTGTACCTCTCATTTATGCCTCCAGGTCAAGCCCACACCATGGATGGACGCAATCGGAACTTTTCCAGTGACTTTACCCTCGTGGGGCTCTTCACTCACACCAGAGCCTCGGGATTCCTTTTTGGTGTCATTTGTGTCATCTTCTTTGTGGCTATGACGGCCAACGGGGTCATGATCTTCCTGATCCACTCAGACCCGCGCCTCCACACGCCCATGTACTTCCTGCTCAGCCACCTCTCTGCCATCGACATGCTGTACATCTCCACCATCGTGCCCAAGGTGCTGGTCGACCATCTCACGGGCCAGCAGGCAATCTCCTTTGCTGCCTGCACGGCCCAGCACTTTCTGTACATGGGCTTCGTGGGGGCAGAGTTCTTCCTGCTGGGGCTCATGGCCTACGACCGCTATGTGGCCATCTGCAACCCCCTCCGCTATCCCGTCCTCATGAGCCGGCGGGTCTGCTGGCTGATCTTGGCCAGCTCTTGGGGGGGAGGTGCTCTGGACAGCTTCCTCCTCACCCCCATCACCATGAGCCTGCCGTTCTGCGCCTCCCACCAGATCAACCACTTCTTCTGCGAGGCGCCCACCATGCTGCGGCTGGCCTGTGGCGACAAAGCCGCCTACGAGACGGTGATGTATATCTGCTGTGTCACGATGCTGCTGATCCCCTTCTCTGTGGTGACCGCGTCCTACACCCGGATTCTCCTCACGGTGCGGCGGATGAAGTCAGTGGAAGGGAAGAAGAAGGCCTTTGCCACCTGCTCGTCACACATGACGGTGGTGACCTTGTTCTACGGGGCTGCCTTATACACATACATGCTTCCCCAGTCCTACCACACCCCGCTCAAAGACAAGGTGTTCTCTGCCTTCTACACCATCCTCACCCCTTTGTTAAACCCTCTCATCTACAGTCTGAGGAACAGGGATGTGACAGGGGCCGTGAAGAGGGTTATGGCACGATGGAGAGGGGCCTGTGGTGTGGCAAAGAAAGAGTCCTGATAGACTGAGACCTCCACGCCTGTCCAGCGGTCTCCGGGCCACACCGTGGGTAACGTGGACAATGCTCTCAGCTGTGCCAATGCCGACACCTCCATGTGCCACAGCAGTCCACTGAAATGCTGGACCGAGGCTGCAGTGCCACCAACACCGCCATGCTCACACCTGAGTTTCCACTGACCCCCACTCTTGTCGTCCCAGCTCTGATGGCGAGTCATGTGTGCAAAGAAAGGCCTGGCTCTCTGGTTGATGGACACACCCTGGCCCCTCACTGGCCTCATGGGAACTGGTGGTTTTTATTACATTGGTTAAACTAGTGGTGGACAGAATTAGAAATCTAAATATCCCTTCTTTGAATAGCTACTTGAAACATTCTCCTTTATCTAAACTTGGAGCTGGAAAAAATGGGTCTTGTGTTTTTGTAGAAATGCAGAAATCACATGTCTCTGGGGCAAGTTTCTATGATGTCACATGTGTTACAGGGTAAATAATCATTGCTGTCACGTGTGCATGTACACAGACCTGGACAGCGAAGCCTGTGAGCCTTGGCTTGGGTGATCTTATGGGGCCACCTCGGTATTTGTGCTCAATGATCCAAACATCGTACCGGTGCCCACGGCTACATTGGAAGACACAGTCGCTGAGAAAGAAGTACTCCATAACCAGCAGTTTCAGTGATCAGTTTTCAGATTCCAAGTTCATTAGGTCTCTAGATTTCTGGAAACCCTCCGTAGATGTCAGTAGTGGTGGGATTTTCGTCAGCCTTTTGCTTCCACAGAGAGAGTGGCGGGCGCATGTTTTCCTCCTCTGCAGCACTGGGCCTTGCACTGGGTGGCACGACACGTGGGAGGAAAATTGCCAGCCCTGGCTGGTGGAGGTGGTGCTGGCTGCTAAGGGGCTGCCACTCTGTGGGAGTCCACTGAAATGCTGGACCGAGGCTGCAGTGCCACCAACACCGCCATGCTCACACCTGAGTTTCCACTGACTCCCACTCTTGTCGTCCCAGCTCTGATGGCGAGTCATGTGTGCAAAGAAAGGCCTGGCTCTCTGGTTGATGGACACACCCTGGCCCCTCACTGGCCTCATGGGAACTGGTGGTTTTTATTACATTGGTTAAACTAGTGGTGGACAGAATTAGAAATCTAAATATCCCTTCTTTGAATAGCTACTTGAAACATTCTCCTTTATCTAAACTTGGAGCTGGAAAAAATGGGTCTTGTGTTTTTGTAGAAATGCAGAAATCACATGTCTCTGGGGCAAGTTTCTATGATGTCACATGTGTTACAGGGTAAATAATCATTGCTGTCACGTGTGCATGTACACAGACCTGGACAGCGAAGCCTGTGAGCCTTGGCTTGGATGATCTTATGGGGCCACCTCAGTATTTGTGCTCAATGATCCAAACATCGTACCGGTGCCCACGGCTACATTGGAAGACACAGTCGCTGAGAAAGAAGTACTCCATAACCAGCAGTTTCAGTGATCAGTTTTCAGATTCCAAGTTCATTAGGTCTCTAGATTTCTGGAAACCCTCCGTAGATGTCAGTAGTGGTGGGCTTTTCGTAAGCCTTTTGCTTCCACAGAGAGAGTGGCGGGCGCATGTTTTCCTCCTCTGCAGCACTGGGCCTTGCACTGGGTGGCACGACACGTGGGAGGAAAATTGCCAGCCCTGGCTGGTGGAGGTGGTGCGGGCTGCTAAGGGGCTGCCACTCTGTGGGGTGGAGCCACGTGGGAGGCTGGGTTTGATTTCTTCTCCAACCTGCAGGCCTGCATGGCTGTGTGCATCTCTAATCCCAGCTACTTGTGAGGCAGGAGGGTGGAGAGATGGAAGCTGGCCCAGGCAACAAAGGGAGATCCTGCCCCAAACCGACCCAGGAGCCTGTCTTAGCTGTGAGGTTAAAGCAAAAGACTGCAACATAGTCAGGAGCTGTCTTTTAATTAGAAAATAAATAGCTTTTCTTTTGAAAGTTAGAGCTGATAAATCTTTGTAAGTAAGTTAATATTGTTTCTTTTTTAAGAAGCTGAGACTTAGGGGAAAGTGTTTGGCCTACATTACAGACTTAATTGTAACACCAAGACCACCCCCCAGCTCCTTGGACTTCTTTGCGAGGTGCTTTGTTGTGCTGTGCTCTCGGCAGTCTGGGTTCGGTGATGCAGCGATGTTCCACTGCCCACGGACACTGGCGGACACGGGTGGATGGCACACCCATGTCCCCTAGTGTACTGAAGAAGCTGTTGGGTCTCAGCCTTCTGCTGAATGGAATTGGCCACTCTGGAACCCTGGGTTTGGACTGAGTAGTCACTGGAAAAGCAGACGGACTCCTGTCTAACAGAGCAGGGTGTCGGTTACAGGGCAGGGCAGCCTTCCTGAGCCTCTCCACCTGGAGAGTCCCATTCCCTCAGCCTTCTCAGACTGGCTCGTAGACTACTACGTGCTGGGAACTGCAACTGGAGTTCCAACCCAGAAGACGGTGAGGTAAAGAAGCACAGGAAGTCAGAAGAGGAGAGCGGACTGTCAAACATGGGGCATCAGGTTCGGCTCATTGTTAAAGCCCATGTGAACATCTGTCAATCATGTCATGTTCCTGAGGTCTTGCTTCCTCTTTTGTAAAATTTGAATTAATACACATTTCTTTGTAAGATTTCAATGATCAAATAAAGTGATACATGTAACAAACCTTTATAAATACTAGTCATCATTTTAGCCATTCTTTTAAAAAGGTTATTGCTTTTCATGTTTATAATATTTTTTAAATTCCTCTTATTTTTTCCCCCATCCCCACACCAATAGGCATGCTCTCTTGTTATTATGCCAAAGCATGGAGGGCTGATACCGGGCAAAATTAATGACCCAACTGTAGAGATGTTAAATAAAATTTAATAGAAAAGTTAGGAACAATATAGATACTCCATTTTTAAAAATGTAGTGATTAAAAAAAAATCAGTGGAGAGCACCAGGCGTCCACCGGAAAGCCGAAACGCCAGTAAGGACAGCAGTGAGCCCGGCACTGGGGACACAGCCAGAGCAGCCCTGTCGAAAGAGCTCAGCTGCCTCTCCCAAAACGAGACATGCTCTTCGCACATGCTCTGACAGCTCGGATTCTCAGTATTACCCTGCTGGCTTGGGAAGTTACGCTCACACTAACCAACATGTGAGCGGTTATGACAGCGTTTTACGTAATCACTGAAACCCACTTAATTGAAATATCCTCGAATAGGTTACATTCATGGGATGAAGCGCTACCCAGCAATAAAGAAAAGGCACATGCAGAGCATGGGGTGACGTGGAGGAGACCCACACGCCTATCACTAACGAAAGAGGCTGTCTACACAGCATGCGACTCGCTTCATGGCATCCAGGAGAAGGTAGGACGGTGGGTTTGAAGGATCGGTGGTTCCCGGGAGCTGGGGCAGGGTGTGGGCACTGGCCAAGCACAGAGGATGCGGGGCAGGGTGTAAGACGGTGATAGGAGTTACATGGCAGGACGCCCTTGTGGAAATTCACAGAGCCGCAGCGCAGAAACGAACGCTGATGTAACCGTGGGCTGTAGTCCATAATTGCTCAAGACTGGTTTGTACTGCAAGGTGTTAACTATGGGGAAAAGGGGGCTCCATGTTTTACTGATCATTTTCTGTAAACCTGAAACTGATGTAAAATACAAAGTTACTAATAGATACTTTTAACTTTCTAGAAACGGTGATGCCCCATGGTGCTGTACCCCATTTAGGAAGCTGTCCCCAGCATACCGTGGAGTTTGTAGAAGTAGGGAGGGGCCGAGCATAAAGGAAATCAAAGCCTATTACTCTAATCCGCCTTGTTCTGGAGGCTGGGCTCTGTGCCTTGGGGTGGAAGAGGAGGCAGGCGAGCAGTTCTTGGAGAAGAAAGTGCCCGGAGCACCTCGGCCGTGATGGGCCTCCCGGAGCACGCACAAGCAGGGCCGGACTGCGCCCCGCCGTGGACAGGCAGGCTGTGGTCCGACTTCCCGAGCTGTGCGTCCTGCCTCTTACCCCCAGGACAGACTTGCCAAAGAGCGCTGCGGCCCCAGCGGCAAGCCTTCTCGGAGCGCGCGGCAGGGCAGGGCTTTCTGGAGGCGCTTTAGGGGTGCCCAGTGCTCTTCCCCTTTCCCGAAGGCCTCCTGCAGCCGCTCACAGCTGTGCGGAGACGCGCTCCCGCCTGCGCTGCCCACCTCCCCGCCGGCCCGGGAGCCTGCTCAGCCTGGGCCAGGCCCGGGAAAGCCCTGGGGGCCTTGGCTCCCTGCGCTGGAGCCCTCGGCGAGCTGTAACTCGTGCCCGCGGACAGACTGGAGCGCGGAGCGGCCGGAGGGAGGTGGCCCTGTCTGCGCGGCCGGAGCCTTGGCGGTCCAGGTGGCGAAGGGAGGGTGCGCTCCCGGACCCGCCTTCCCCGGCGCCCTGGCCGGCGGAAGGGATGGCCGGC